TTGTTTTGTTTTGATTGAAATATTTTTAATGGCTACACATTTTTTTGTCTTTCTTCCAGTGAATTTTGTTGCAACGTACACTATAAAATCATAAAGGTAGATCTCAGTAAACTTTCACAGAAGTAACACAGCTATGTCACTACCCACAAATCAAGATAGAATAGCATCCCACAAGCACACCATATATCTGCTCCTTATAAGTGCCTCCAGTATTCTAACGTCTATCCACTTCTTAAGTGAAAAGAAATAAAGGCTAATAAATAACAATGTAAAATGAGGCTGAATTTATTTGCATGCCTGGCAAGGAAGAGCAGCATTATTCAAGTACAAGTTCAGTTTTGTTTTATTTAGAAATTGAAAGAACTTGATATAGATCAAAAAAGGAGAAATATTATAAAATTAGGCAGCTTTTTGAGTTCAGGTCTCCGGCTGGTTTACAAGGTGGATGGGAGACTCTTCCTTGTGAGAGGCCACTATCAAGGTTCACTTCCCTGCTAACTGAAAGCCTGGTTTTAATCAAATCAAGACTGGGTTGTGTAAAATTCTAGAGAGCATAAGTTGTTCAGGATACACAATTATGCATGCAAGCCCAAAGCTGAGCAAAAATGTTCTTTAAAACAGTATAGATTCGTTTGAACTCTATGATAGTGAAATCATGCAGGGTATGCTGTTCTGTGTTTGGCTTCTTTTGCTCAATATTACATTTATGAGACTCATATTTGTGACTGCATGAATGAGCATAAATTCATTTTCATTTTATAGTATTCTCTAATGTGAATATATTATACTTTCTTCATTTATGCTTTTGTTAATGAATATTTGGATTGTTTCAGTGTTTTATTCTTACAGGTAGTCCACTATGAACTTCCTTCTAGTATTTTTGTATACATACATTCAAACACACACACAAACACTTGGGCATATGTCTAGGAGTAGAATTGTTGAGTCATAGGGAGGGCATATGGGAGCTTTAGTGCACACTGCCAGTTTTCCCTAGCAGTCAGACAGATTTACAATCCCACCAGCAGGAAATTAGCTCCAGTCGCTTCACATTTTTGTTGATACTTAGTGTTGTCAGTCGTTTAATCTTAGCCATCTCAGTGAATGCATAGTGGTATCACGTTGAGGTTTTAACTTGCATTTTCCTCATCACTAGTGAAATTGAATATATTTTTATATGTCTATTGACCATGTAGATATCTTTTTGTGAATTTCTTGTTCAAGTATTTTCCCTATTTTTCTATTATTTTTCTTTGTCAAAGAATAGTAAGAATATCTATCATCTGCACATACACACACATACATATACATACACACATGTATAGCTTCAGTTTGTGGTCTTTATGGATATGTTTATACAAATATCTTCTATCGTGTGGCTTGCCTTTTCACTTTTGTTTTCTATGGCTCGTATTTTTATGCTTTTAATGGTGCCTTCTGTTAAACAGAAATTCATGAGAAATAAATGTTTAGCAAATTTAAATGGTTCTGGGTTAATTCAGATATTTTCTCTTTCTTCTTGTGTCTATGTTGATAGTTATAGTTTACCAGGATATGATCTCTTTAATTAAAAATTGTCATAAAGTTGCTCTTTCTACTACTTTATAATTCTTAAAAACAAACAAACAAACAAACAAACAAAAACTCTATGCAGGCCGGGTGCGTGGGCTCATACCTGTAATCCCAGCACTTTGGGAGGCTGAGGCAGGTGGATCACCTGAGGTAGGGAGTTCAAGACCAACCTGACCAACATGGCAAAACCCCGTCTCTACTAAAAATACAAAATTAGCCTGGCGTGGTGGTTCATGTCTGTAATCCCAGCTACTCGGGAGGCTGAGGCAGGAGAATCTTTTGAACTCAGGAGGCGGAGGTTGCGGTGAGCCGTGATCCCACCATTGCATTCCAGCCAAGGCAACGAGAGTGAAACTCCATCTCAAAACAAACAAACAAAACAACAACAACAACAAAACTCTACTCAATTTCTAGTCATGAACTCTTTTCTTGTTCCTAACTCTATTTCATTTTGCCCATTGTATCTTTTTCATTTGATTAAATATTGTCACAGTTTTATCTATTTTCTTAACAACTTCAGATCTTTAATATATTTCCATCATTGTAGCATCTTGATTAATCAAGAGAGACTTCATTCTACATCACTAATTTACATCAAAACTTTTCTTTTATCCAGAATACAGAAGACTTGGAATTCTTTACTTGGACAGTATATTTGTGTGAGTCTAAAACCATTAGTCAAAAAATTCTATAGGAAACAAGATACAGAATATTTAAATACCAAGTATTATGCCCTGGTTTTCATTTTCGGTTATATGGTGATTTACAGACATTTTCTGAAATTCATCCATTCTATTATGTTTTTCATCAAGCTTTCCATCTCATTTTATGTGTGGGGCTGAGAAATATGCTAATGCACACAAGAAATTATGTTGTATGAGAGTAACTATTACTTATGAAATAGCTGAATAAACATGTTGGAGGAATTTAGGTCATGATTCCCACAATAATTTTACTTTAGTCTAAGTAAAAGTGGTTATGAAAGCATCAAAAGTGAAGTTCCTTTTTGCTTCAGACATAAAGCCACACAGGGTCCCTGGCTTCTAGTGGAGGCGTGTTTTTCACTTAGACGTGAAATGGAGGTTGCTTTTTCCCACTCAGACCCAGAGCAGAATAGAAATCCCTTCCCACCACAGCAGGTCAGCTCCAAGTAGAGATTGAGAAAGAGAGAAAGACAGCATTATACAGAAATAAAACAAGGCTATTTCTGGAAAATATGTTATTGGTGACAGGCATTTTCCAGAACATATTTTTAAAAAAAGAGAAAGAGAAACTCTTCAGGTCTTTCAAGAACAGAGATCCTTGGAAGACAATCCCCTCTTTCTCCACCCTTCCCTGCAAAAAAATCATTCATTAAGGATACACATGCAAACTCTCAGCAATAAGAAGAGGAAACTAATTTTTGTAATTAGTATAAAACTAATTTTTGTAATTAATATAAAAGATCAGCTATGAGTAAATACCTGCTCCTAGTCAGAGAGAGATGGAGTGTTAAAACTCTTGAATACAGAAAAAGATCAGCAATTTAAGTAGAACCAGATAAGAGGGTAAAGGGAAGACAATACAGAAGGAGCAGATAAGGAACATGGCTGAGGCAGGTGAGGTTGCAGCATACACGCTCCTGCACCCACAGCAGGCACTGCTGTTTGAATAGGGCTTTTCTTTCCTGCTAATCTCAGACATGACTCAACAATCCTCCTTGGCTATATACTCGAGATTGCCATTTTTAATCTACCGACAAGTGTTGGCCCATGAGAAGCAACTACTTTACTTTCATGGGGTTAAAGGTTTTTGTGAGTGTATTAGTTAAAGAATTTAAAATGACAGTTAATAGCAAATTTATATTGCATGTGTAGTTTGTTTGTGTGCCTCCTCGAAGCAAACTCTATTATTCTAATCCCATTGAACACACTCAGTAACTGTCAATTAATCTCTGTTCTTATAAAGTCTTGCATTATATAGCCTCTTCAGGGATTGTTATACATGGAGGGCGCCCTACTTACAACTGGGTAAAGATTTTGGTTTCTGCACTCGGTACAGTATGCTGCCTTAATAAGACTTACTTCTGATGTATGACATTATGCATGAACTCTCTAGCATTTATTTGCTTTCTTTGTTTCAGAGTGACTTATTTCCAGCCCTCCTATGCTGTGACTATGTTTTAATTCTTCTTCTAAATTCTCCTTTCTGGTTTGATTTTAGCATGCATGTGTCTAAGGCACAACCATCAGCCTCAGTATCTTAGGAACATTACGCCATGATAGGTGTGGGGAGCTTACGATGTGGGCCTTCAGGCAGCATGTGATTTGCGTTGGTCATGGGCATGCATCTGGAGCAGAATTGAGCCTGGAAAAGTGACTGTGACCGGTAGAAGAGGATGTATGTAGCCTCATCACTTAAGGCATTGATTTTCAACCACGGAGATCCCTTACAAAACAATTTCTGCTCCAACCCACATCCTGATTTTATAGGTCTTGAATAAGTCAGAGACCAAGGCATGTATTAAAAGCATCCTAGGCATTTAATATGCATCCAAGGTAGGAAAAACAAAATCATTGTTTTATAGGGTAAAGTTTTGTTTAAGGGAAAGAGGCACAACAGGTAGGGGAGTGCATTTATCAGGTGTTGCTTTCAAGAGTAGGCTTAGTGGTGGCCCAGAGGACCAGACTAGTCAGCTTTGTCACACAGGCAACAAATGCTCCAGGGTGACTTTGCCTCAAAAGCCCTTTATCAGATTAGCTCTGTTTCTCTACAATGGATAGATACCTCAGGGTCACTCCAACTTCTTATCATGGCAGAGTCATATTTTCTAATAAAGGTCATCCTTAAGTTATCTTTTGGTATGGTATTTCCAAGTGCATTACGCCTTTCCCTATACCTCCCACCAGCTTTTTCATCTTCGGAAACAGAGCCACCTTAATTGTGAGGTATGCGATATCGCTATATTCCTTTAGATGTCTTATATAAACTTATGTGAAACCATAGAACAAAATAGCATTTTTATGGTAGGTGTATTCACAGAAAAGACGGAAGGAATAGGAATATGTGTAAACATTTGGATCTACTTTCCCAACACAAATAACAATTTGGATATAGCAGAAAGAACTGTGAAAAAAAATTAATAAGCATGGTTGTTGAATTGTCATTTGTTCAATGAAATATTTGTGTTCATATTGAAAAACTGCCCACACATTTATCTCTTCAGATTACGTATTAAAATTTTATTAAATACTTTCCATTTTTACCCTTTTGGTCGAGGTATATAAGAAGAATTCAATTTACTCCTGCCTTGGAAAATGATAAAATAAACCTTAGCAAATGTAATATTTTGTTAAGATTTAAGAATTTAAGTGAAGAATTCAAAATAAATTTAGACAATGTATTCATGCTGCAATCTGTTTTCGCCTCACTGGAAATGTCTGCTACAGAGACAAACCGAAGTTGTGTATATCATGCTGATTCAGAAGAGAATGAAGGCATTTGTCAAGAGATAATGTCAGACTAAACAGACGTGTTCCAATCGATTAATGCATTTGGAGGATTTCCAAATATTTGCTGATCTGAGGAGGGTGAGGTAAGGCTAATCCATAATTTGTCAATTCCACTGAAAAACTATCAAAAAAGCACATTTATACACAACTAGGTATGCTTCTTTGCGTCAGAAAATAGATCGATAATTAGATCTTATGACAAAGGTCCCCTTGTGATAATGTAAGAATTTAACTTTGATTTGTTGCTGTTGTAACTGGCTAATTAATTTTAATTTTCAAAGGCACGAGCTTGTGAGGAAATGATTTAGAATTGATATCTGACCTCCAGCTGTTGAATGAATTATAATTTTGATTATTGAAAATATATTTGTGGAGACTACTAACGGTAGAAGAAATAAAGAGACTCCTAATAAGTATATGGGTTTTAAGTTCCATTTTAGTAGTGCTTTTATGCTCTATTACTAAGACTTAAATTCCGTGGTAACTCAGCAAGCAGTATGTTAGTTTAACCATGAAGCACTTTATAATAGGCATTGCACGTTAATTCATATATTCATATATTAGGTGCAGCCTTTTCAAAAACACAGAGAATTGGGGTGTATGTGGAAAAGTATAAATTATTAACAGATTGATTTTAATTGTTTCTTATAAGTAACATCTTAGGCACGGGTGTGTGCCTTTGGGGAAACAAATGGTTTTAATGTGACATTTATATTTGTTACAGATAACTAAATTTCATGACAGGAGAATTATGCCTATGAAATGTGTATTTTCAAAACATGGTCACTTGAGACTGTTGTTTTATTACCTTTGTCCTTATGTCTTTATAGCTGAGGTTATTAATGTTACTACTATTCTCTCAGATACATGGGTTTGAAATGCAGTCATCTTTGACTCATTTTTATTTTCTCCTGTTTTTTCTCTCTCCCTTACTGCAAACCATATACCCAATATCTATCTATCTAATTCATGGTTCTTTGTATAACATTCATCTGCTCAGAAACCATTAATGCTTCCCCATTGCATACTGAGTTTTAAGTTAAACCTTTTTTTTTTTTTGCTATTAATGACAGCAATATTACTAATAAAATTCACATTTTCAAAAATTGTATTATAAAACCAATTGTTTCAATATGTATATGTTAAGAAAGGATAAGGAAAGGAGTAAATAATACCAGGCCACAATAACTAAATTATATTGTATTCAAAAATTTCTTCGATGAAATTATTATTCAAACTAGGTATGGCAATATTATATGAAAGCGACAAATAATAAACAAAACCAATAAAAATAAACCAAAACGTCCCTGGGGAGATACTGAAGAGCATGTAAGATCAGACAAGAATCAATAAACTTTGTATAGTCAAAATGAATTCTAGTGTTGTTTACAACTTCCAGCAGGAAATAGAAGAAAGAACACCAGCTGAGCATCCATTTATTGCAAACCAAGCAGGTGTGGGTTCCTACTCTGTTTACTCAATAGCATTTTTCCACTGAGCAAGGTGCTTCTTCCCAATCACAATAACATTGTTTCCAACAGCTGCTGGAGTAGCGACAATCTTTCCCCTTAATTATTCAATCATGTTCTCTCTAATTCATATCACATAAACTCACACAATAGGAGACATGCCTAAACAAATTATTTAGTCTAGGAGGCAGGCAGGGTCCCCAAGACATAGCCTTAATCTACTTAACCAGTTCACATTCTCCTATTTCCTCAATATATAGTATGTCATACTGATTAGGAATATTGGCTTGACAGTCATTCCACCTCAGTTCATAATCCTAACTCTCATACTTGTTAACTGTGTTCTTGAAGGTAAGTTATACGAACACTTTGTACCTTAATGTCTTCATCAATTAAATGGTGATAATTTAATACTGCTACTCCCATAACCTTATTGGAATATTAGACCAGTCATTAGATCTACTTGTGTATATTATTGGCTGTGCCTGGCACCCAATTTTCAAGCATTGAAGAGAGCTATTGTTACCCTCCTGCATCTCGATGGCTATTTCCTAAACATAAGCCTCTTAACCACTGTCATTCCCTCGGATAAACATGCCATTTCATTCTTAGCCTGCTAAAATCTCAACAACTCCTGTAGATCTATTTCCAGTACATATCTTTATAATCCTTTTGATCTGTTCAAATGAATGAAATTTCACTTCCATTTCTACTTCACGATGGGCCTCTTTCCTATGAGACTTGAATTCAAGACCATTCAAGTGAATATATATATACACACAGAGAGAGATATATACACACACACATATATATGTATTTTTTATATATATATATATATATATCTCCCCGTTTTCCAACCTTCCAACCTGTAATAACCAGTTATTGACCTATTGGTTTAAAATGCAGCAAAATTCCACATTCTATTTTTGGATTTTCCAGGTATATGATGGGAAACAAATCTGAGAAAAGAAGGATGGTAGATGCTTTCCCATTTTGACCTATGGTCATTTTGGTAAGAACACTTTACTCAATTAAGAGGTAATCAAGTGATTCCAGGCCTGCTGCTAAATAATTATGAGATGATATTTGGAAATATGTATTTCCCTTTTAGCTCCTGAAGCCACAGGTGTATGCCTGAGGTTCTCAACAAATGGCTGATTATCTCTCAGAATATTCAGTTGTCTGGTGGCTGGCACTAATAGCTCAGAATAAGCCATGTTTAACTTTAGGATCCATCTGGACTCTTGGCCACTAGTGGTACGTAATACTAGCTGCAGAATTCAGGTTCTCTGAGCCTGTGAAAACCACCTGATTTCATTTCAAATTCATTTTACTTCCTGTGGGATGGATTTGAGATCAGAGCAAAATATTCAACCTCATTTTTGTTCATCTTGTCCAAAATATGATCCAGATAAACTTTTCTTAGCACACATTTGCATTTTTTACAAATATCATTTTTAATGAAATTAAAAATCTGTGATTATAAACTTTAATATTGTGCAAGTAGCATTTGTAATATAAAGGTTTCAAAAAAGGAAGATAATTTTCTCTACTGGAGATTTATTTTGCCATTTTCAACTTGGAAGCCCAGGACTCAAACAAAAGTATTGTTCGAAAGCTGCTGGGGTTCATTATTACTTATGCTGGAAGTTTCAAAAAAAATGTTTTTAGCAAAAAAGAAACCTGTTTTGTTCTAAGAATTTGAAATTTTAACAGTTAAATTATTGCTAAATTTCATAAGATTTGCTCTGTAAGAAAATACTTTATATATTTGTTAACATGTAGTTGTTTTACTTATTTGTACATACTAGTTTAATATATACATAGTCATATTAATATATGTTTGTATGTATACAGAAATACTTAAATATAAATTTTATTTTTTAAATGCATGATTTGCAATTTTGTTATAAATTGCTAAAAATTGTTTTGTGGAGTTTATGCATTTTGTAAATATGATGGTGGCAGATGGTGTACATGTGAGTTAATTGAATAGATCTTTCATAGTCTGGCACTTTTTGTGCTTTTAGAATTTGGAGAAGTTAGTCTTTACTAATGAAATGTACTTTAGAAACTATTGAGCAAACATAACATTTTAAGAACACCTTGTTTTTATCCTATGGATTTTCCTATTATATTTAAATTTGCTCTTTTGTTTTTAGAGCTCCCCTCAAGAAACATACTCTTTGTTTTTAATGCTCAATCCTTTTTTATTCTTTGTAGAAACTAGTGGTCTCCTATTAAGTAAACAGACGTGGGTCTCATTAGAGGGATCCATTCTAAAACAGAAGAGGACAACACTCAGGGAGGGCTGCAATGAGACAGAGAATCTAGAATGTTGTTCCTGATGTGCAGATCTTCACCTAGGGCTGCAGAAGACTGTACAGCTATAGACAAAATAATGATGTACAGATGTCATGGAAAGTAAGAACAAAGGAGTGAATCCATCCTACAGTCTGAAGGCAGAAGCAAGGTCATAAATGGGGTTGCGGGGGAAACCCTGTGGTAAGAATCTGTAGAGATGAGGAAAAAAATTGTAGGATTTAGGTAGGTTAGGAACTGGCAGTTCAGAGCAATGCCAGGGTATTAGAAACTCACTCTAGTGTGGTCTAAGTTTCCCAATATAGGATTGAGTGGACCTCATCATATTAGCCACATTCAAGGAATATATGTATGTTATAGAAGTCAATGGTTGCATTAAAATATTCATTAAGTTTGAACACAAGTTCTAATTTATTTTTATCATTATTTCTTAATAGCAGTTAATTCTTTGTGGCTTCAATTACTGGCTGTATTCCAAACAGTTACCAACAGTTCACTTCTGTAATTACAGAACTTATACCATTTCCAAATAACCAATGTAAACTTTTCCTTGGATATTATTTTGTTACCTGCAAATAACAAATGTGAATTTAGATTTATCATCTTCCTCTGGGACTGAATTTCCCTTGTAATACAGTTTTTTGTTGATTTGTTTGTTTTTCAGTGACATCCCCAGCCCCTACATACCTATGTTTGATTTATCTTTTATTTCCTTCTTTTATACTTAAACCTTAAGGCAGACTGGAAAGTTGATATCAGTGACACAAAGTTTAATTGATTGGGTACTTTACATTTCTACTTGTTTTTGTACATTTCTGATTTATATGAATAAAAAGCAACTCAGATTAAGCCTCCCTCATTGCCCTAAGAGGTCTATTATATTTTTAGTGATTTACCTAGAGGATGTATACATGTAGTAACAGTAGAAATTAGAGGTGCAACACTACTGGCCAGGATATAGCAACATCCTGAGTACATTAATAAAGTGTAACATGTCCAGCATGTTAGGCACAAATAAAAATAGAGAATGTGGTTTTATTAAATTATCAGAAGTTACGGGTCACATTCAAACAGAAATATTCTATGAAATTCAATTCTAAGAAATTCAACTTACTTTTAATGTTTCTGAAATTGGTAAACATCATTGATGTCAAAAAAATCTTCTATGCTTGAAATAAATTATACTTGTCATTTCTAAGCTTATGATAACATGGTCAAGAATTAAAGGTATCTTCATCTGACTTCTGTTTCATCAGTCTGCTATCTGAGAAGGGTTATTTGCCTTAATACCA